ATTTTCTATTTGGCCGTGTGTATTGATAATAATAGGGAATAAAATATGACTGAAATCTGAAAAATTCACAAGAAAATATGACAATTTAATAAAATGAGTAAAAAAATTGTAAGTTAAAGTATGAGCTAGAATGGTGATAATTAAAAAATGATGGGCAAGATATAAATACAGATATAAGAATAATCATAAAATTGGATCATACAGGGGAGACTAGTCATGTAAAATTCTCAGGAATATTTTCCTGAACTAGCTGTATTCTATGCAATGGCAGTGAGGTTGACAAAATGTGTTAGATGTGAGAGAGGAGATCTCAAATCTTGGATATTCCTTCACTATATACTCTCAGGACAATCCTAAGCATTCCACTTCAGTTTTAAAATGAAACAGAATATGTGCCCTATACACAAAAGAAAATCCACAAATGGTGATAAATTTTGAAACATGGAACATCCCATTTGGCAACGAGGTACATGGTTTGATATCAAACTGCTCTTTCCTGGTGATACCATCAACACCTCATAGTTCCCAGAGGGTTGATCAGTCATGTCCTTGATAAACTGGCTGAGGAAGATGGAATGTACTTGTCTGATCTGTGTGTTTTTCAAAGGAAGAATCAAATTGTTGATGGGTATTAAATGCACCTCATCTGGAAATGAAAGTAACAGCAATGATGATGATGGTGATGATGATGTTTTAATGATAACAATACTTCTACTTCTAGTATTAATGATGATGATAATAGTGATAGCATTACCGATAAAATAACATTTATTATAAAAGCAATGAAAAGAATAATGAATAATAATGTATGTAACTTTTGAGCAAAACACTTGCGCTAATATTTTTAAATCACACTTAGATAACACTTTTCTCACCTTGATCAACATGACAAGCTTTAAAAATTAAAAAGTTAACCGAAGACTGACCTGTATACATTAAGCTTAACTGTGATTTTGAAACAATGTCATGTGATATAAATGAGAAAATTACCATCAGGCTTTAGTCTGAAAGCGAGGGAAATTTACATCGTTGTTCAATTGTTTCAAAATGATGCTAATTTAGCAGAGGGAATTGTATAAACAACAGCAATCGAAGGTTTTTCAGTCAAAATTTTAAACTTACCAGAATGAGAAGAGATGATTTTGTTCTCTTTCTTTTTTTTCCTTGTCCATCAGCACCACCCTTAGTTCCATCTACGGGATCGGAAGAAAGCTCTTTCTAACTTGCTGTCCAGGGTATCCACTTTGTCAGCCAGCTCTTCAATCCGCTTATTTGAGTGTCGTACAGTCTGTAGTAGTTCCTTGATCGACCTCTGGCAGGCAGTAAGGCCAGTGATTAACTGCTGTGTTGAGTCTCATGAGGACAGTGTTGTAGATCCACTGGATTGGACAGAAGATAACTTACTCTTGAACTTGAACTGCTCGAAGGGGATAGAGTTCTTGACACTGAATAAGAATTGCCTGGTGCAGTACTGTGACTTAGTGCACTGAAAGTCTGCTTCATGTTTAGGAAATCTGTTGAATGAATACTACTTGAACCATAGATGAAGATGCACAAGTCAAGAGAAACTGTCTGAATCAGTGAATCTCGTGAACTGAGAATTGTTGCAAAAAAGAACCAACAAAGAACAGTAAAGCCTTTATATGGGCCCAAGTGGCCCATGGGACCAGTGCTTAACTCCGGTTTTCTTAGCATGAAGCAGCTAGGAGTATTGCTACTC